ATCTAACTGATACAGAATGCACAGGCAACAGAAATGCCTCCAGAACTGGAAAGACATCAGCCAGAAACAAAAACCTGGAGGTGGTTTCTCACTCCTGTGGCAAAACAAACAAACAAAAATGTACCAAGTATGTTACAAAGTCCAGATACACTTTGTTGGGCTTCTGGAAATATCTTTGTTGCCAGGATTCCCATTTCTGAGCACATCACACCATACTTGACTGTGATTTAGCTACAGACTTTCAGGCCACAACTTGACAGAGCACAAATTTTCAGGAGTGAAAATGCAAGTTTCTTTAAACCTGAGCAGATTTGTGACCAACAGAGAAATATACCCAAATCCTGTGTTCAGACATTTCATTCAGGAGATTAACCAAAACCAACAAAACAAAGCACATCACATCTCTCCTTTATTTACATTCATTCTTAAATACGCTTTGCAAGTTAAGACACAACATAATGTGATGTAAGAACTGTAAAGAAATGATGGAATTCTTTCAGAAACAGAGGATGTTCCCTTTCTGCTCTTCCTCAGTTTCCCAGGAAAACCCTGTGAGCCAAGGAGATGGGAAAAACATCTGCTTTCAAAAAGACCAACTCAGTGAACCACCTCCTACAAAATCAGGTCTTACTGAAAGACTGCAGACCTTCTTTTCAGCCTTAAAGAAATGGTGAACAAAGAAGAGACCAGCTGTCATCTTCTGATTTGTTCACAATGAGTTAATAGCAGTCCCAGAACCTTTTCCTTAGTACTTTGTTCACTGATAATGCAGTAATTAAGTTAATAGACGGAAAAACACTAAAAGTATTTGTAAAAATAATGAATGCTCTCTGAGAAGAAAATGGTTTTCAACCGACAGCAATTAGTCAATATGGTAATTTATTAAGGAGGTAGGAATCTGAAGTTTAATAGCTTTTTCTGCTAAGAACCAATCAATTTGTTAAAATGGTCAAATTGAAGCAAAACCTCAACATAAAACAACACTTTCATTATTGACTTTTGATGCAAAATTTAAATGATGTTTCTCTTTCAGCACATTAGTGCAATTCTGAACAGTAAACTATTGCCTATGCTTAGACCTCAAATGTTTCAAATCATTTCCACTGGGATGACCCAAAATAATCAGGAAATAAGCATTTTTTTTTTCAAAATATCTTTTAGTTAGGCAGTGTCATTCACTACCAGTTGTTCTCACCTGGTCAAAAAGATCTGTACCATCAGTTCCAGCTGCTTTCATTAGTTCATCCTCACCGCCGGGATGATATTCCATGTACGGTGTGACATTATATACGTGTCCTGCAGAAAATGGAATATAAGATCATGTGAGTAACATTTTTTACAACCATTGCAACTATTCAACTGTCTCCAGAAACAGTGGAAAGATTAGTACCTATTACACAGTGTAATAGCAAGCAATATGATTTTCCAGAATCAGAAACAGAAGTCACACAACCGTATGGAACCTGACATGAAACATATCACACAGAGTTGTTCAGTAGGATAAGTTTTGTGGTACTGCAGGTCTGACACCTGGAAAAACCCTGCAGGTTTAAGACTAACAAAATAAACACCTGAAGATGAAGGTGCCATAGTCTAGTTAATGTGTATGAGAGCTAGAGGACAGTTAAATAGAGACACAGAACTGAGACAGTTAGTGCAGGGAATTGTTTTTGTTATCCCTTTGAATTAAGTCACTGCTGAAGTGCTGTTAAAGTTGTTTCTCTGTCATTCACCTATGAAGTATGGGAGTATGGGAATGACTATGGGAAGAAACTGTCTTCTGAAAATAAAAGCTACCACCATCATCAACAAAATGTTCCCTGGGTAGATTCAGCACTACAAAAAACCTGAATGCACTCTGAGCTCATTAGAGGCTGATAACACTGATGACAAATTTGTCTTAATAAAAGGATTCAGCATTCATTTTACACAAGCACTACTCTGTATTTTTAGTGAGATTTTTAAAAAAATGCTTTGTAGGTCTGGAATCATGAAGACCAATTAGTGAAACACAGTCAGAGTAATCAGAGTTTGAAGAATGCAGCAATAAACAGATTTCACCACAGACATTTCTTCTTATGAGATTACTGCAGGTCTACATAACAAAATATTTCAAAAAAAATTAAACACTATCTAAACAAGAAGTTACTAAAGTGAAACCATGCCTGTTAAAAGTACTGTGTGCTTTTAAAAAGTTTACATTACTCCAGAAAGGAAGGCATTCAGCATTAGGTGAGGGGAGACGCATTCCTGGGACAATCTTAATTGGTAAGAACAATCCTCCTGGACTGGAAAGGTTTTTTTGCACACTCTACTGACTTGACGTTCGGAGAGATGTAACCAGTACGCCATCTTGTGTACACGATTGGTTACTGCACATAAGAAAATGCACGAGGGAGAATTAAACAGTTCAGAACTCCTGAATGTCAACAAAACATTCAGATTTCCACCTAATATGCTGTTCTTTAACCCCCTGCCATCCCATTTTATATATCTGTGCCCTATAGGACAACTCTGTTTGGTGATCACACTACTGACTTTCAAAAAGTTAGCTCCTGATTCCCTTCTTCTTCACATTGCTCTCAATTTTTGCTTTTTACTACAGAGCCATAGTCTAACTACACGAACACAAATACCTCAGAAAGGCAGTCTGGGGGGGAGTAAGAGATTAGAAAGCATTAATTAGCAATGATTCTAGTAGTAGAGTAGATGTGGATTTTTGAAAGGTATATAAACAAATCTACACTGTAAATGAATTTTCTTTAGCTCTCCTCTCATTATAGTTCTGCTCGTATCTGCAAGAGCAGTACACACAGCATTAACAATCCTACCACTTTGCTCAAAAAGCTCACTCTCATTCCCCTTTTTGACCCAACAAAAACAGTCATCCTTGTCAAGAGCTTCTTAATTTTGCAGGAATTTATGGATGACATTAAATTCCTTAAGTTACCATTAAACAAAGCACTTTTCCTATACAGGTCATGTTAGCCACTCTGATCTTCCTAACAGCACTTCCACAAAACAGGTTATCTCATAACAAATTCAAAGCAATATTATTGTATTTTAGCCTCTAAACAATTAAACAGCAGAGCAAGTATTTTGCTACTTTCTAGACTAGAAACTTCATCTTCAGCACTGAAAATACTCATCTAGACAAGTCTATTGCTCCAAACTACCTTTAGCACGCTGCCATCTTACAATAAATAATAATAATTTCAACTTGAGTTAAAATTTCATAAAAGTAATAATAAACAAAGAGCATGACTCAGTTACCACAGATATTTACAGTGTATCTACAGATATACTGTAGATATAGGCAGAGATTTATCTGAATGGCAATTATCATTCACCTTTCTAAATTGTATGAAGTGGTACGTGGGCTTACATACATGCATTTTCTGGAGACCATCTTACAGGATCTAAATAACATCTTTACATATTTTTATGACTCTAAATGCTTTAAAGCAACCAGTGAAAAAATCTTCAGCTGCTAAGGATGATACACACTCTAAAAACTTTAAGTACATGTCGGCATTTTTAATGTCTTATTCTTGCTAAGATGCTGTCAGAACAGTCAACCACATTCTTAAGTTGTACTATTTTCACGTAAGTGTCAGGTACATCAACTTTAAAGACTGCCTGAAAAAAGTCTGAAAGCAAAGAATAGCGTTGTTACATAAAACTGCCAACTTGGACAAAGTCGTGTCCTACTACGTCAACATTACACCTGGTCTAAACACAGATGACAACACACTGTTTTGGGGTGAGGATTTTTGGGGGTGGTAGTTTGTTGTTTTGTTTCAAGTACAGAACAGAGGCTAGGCAACAAATGCAAAGCAACATGGCAGTAACCAACCTCTTATACATATCCAGCAGTCTTCCTTCTTGTTGTGCTTAGCAAGCTCATCTTCGGTCACTTCGATCAGCCTCCCTTTTAAACCAGTCAGGTCCTTTCCACTTTTAGTTAATCGAATCCAATCCATAAGACTCCTTCCTGGTTTTAAAGGAACCTGGAAAATAACAAAATGTACAAACATTATTAAACTCTAAATGGAGAAAGAAACATTTGAAATGTTCTAAGCTCCCAAGGAAGACTGGGGCAAAACAAGAAATAACCCGTACTCTTCACGATCATTCTGTGCCCTACCCAGCAGTAAAGCTGCTTAAGGAGGCTCCCTATTCTGCAACCCAGCCAAAAGGATTCTCAAACATTTAAAGCCTGAAGAAAAGCGAGACGATACGGAAAGGCCGCGCAAGAAGCGCTGTGAGCCCCACTAAAAGGAGAAGAGCGGTTATAAGATAACTACGCTACCCCGGCCCAGCCCCGAACCCGGCCGGCCGCGGATCGCCGCCATCCCCGCAGGGCCGCGCCGTGACGGCCTCAGGGCCGGCTGCCAGAGAGCCCCGACCCGAGGAGGTTCCGCGGGCCCTACCTTGGTGCGGCCGCCCGCGGCCGCCCGCTGCTGGGAGCCGGGCGCGGGGAAGGCCTGCGGCGGCACGTTCAGCATCCTGCCGGCCCGGCCTGCACCCGGCGGGCGGGCGGAGCGCTCCGGCACAGCGCGCAGGCGCGGCTCGATGGGCGGGAGCGGCCCGTCACGAGGGCGGGTGCCTCCCACGGGGTGCCGGCCCTCCCCTGCTCATTCCATGCTGGCTTCCCGCGGGCTGAAGCTGTACCAGCGCTGCCCGCAACCAGCCCGCAAGCTTCTGGAGTCCCAGGAGTCTGCACTCCCAGGAGCGGCAGTTCCGCGCCCGGAGCTCCTCCCGCCCCGCTTTGGTGCCTGCAGGGCTGTTCTCACGTACCCCGCTTCCCTCTCCCGTTTGCTCAGGGCTGAGCTGTGGCAGGTCCCCTGCAGCCTTACCCTCCCCAGTAAGGGGGGCTGCTTCTAAAACCGGTGTTTACGGTCTGCAAAATAAAGGACCTCAGACTAAATAAATAAAAATATTACTCATCAATACTTTCCCTGCCCAAAAGCGAGTCAGGACTAGAACAAAGGCTCGGATAAAATTACAAAACATTCCAGTTTTATTAAGAATAATTTACATACGTATAAATTATCTTTAAAAATACTATAATACGTTTTTTTTATAGTAAGCTTAATAGAAGTAGTCTCGATTGGCCTTTCTTGCCATCAGCAATGTGATTCTGCTCTTGCATCTTGCTCCAGTTCACCTTCATCCTCCTCACTGTCTGTGTCTTCATAAAAAGAAATCGTAGCTTGAACAGGAAAGTTTTTCAGAAGTGCCTCAGCTTCCTGATACAGGTAATCGTAGCACCTTGATTTGGGCCAAAATAGTCTGAAACAAGCATAGAGTAAGTTTCCTTATTGTTATTATACGTGCTACTTGAAGGCTGACAGTCAAGGAACAGTGATGTTCTGCTAGACAAACTTCCTACAGCATTCCCCTCACATGGCCAATGACTAAGCATTCTCCACATATAAGTAGAAATATATTCTCTGGATTCCATATTTCCACCTGAAGAGAGAAAAAATCGTGTTTTACGTGCAGTGTTGCAGCAATACTGCTCTAAACTCTGGGATCCATACCTGAAGCTCATCACTCTGGTACCCCATTATCAGTATTCTTTTGGACCTAACCCAAATAACACTGCTCTAAGTGAAATAGTTCTTTGGGGATACAGTGGGTGTAAGATAGCATTCTCAAAGAACCTGGGTTAAACCAGTGGTTTTATTAGAGATGGATAGATTTCGGGTGATATTACTATGGTCTGAGGCAAGTCTCAAGGTGAAAGGAACGATGACAGCCTCAGAGGATCAGGTTTTGATACTCCACTAAAGTTTTGCCTTTGTAAACAGAATCCTCCACTGACTTCTTACCGAAGTTGTTACCTCGGATTAGATTTCAAAGTAGTCTGTGTTGTATCTAGGAATCAGGATGAAAATTACTGACAATATGGTGCAGCAAGAGCTATCAGCTAGTATATATCATATTGCAATAACATCACAACTGTTTCTGTGCCTTTTCAACTAACATCCTCTTGCTTACCATTTGGAAGTAGCTGCAAGAAACAATAGAAATCCCAGGCACTAAAAGACTAGCACAATGCAAATTAAGTGCTTTCTACAGACTGCTCGTAACAGAATTGCATTAAGGAACAGAATTAGAATGAGGGTTTTCTAGCAAGTACAAAAATGCTTTCTAGGCTATGGTTTAATAGAACACTGCCTCCTTTGCAGCACAAAGCAGACTTGCTCTTTATCATTGCATTCCCAGTGCTCCCTGCAGCATTCACTCATGCACAGGCACAGCATCAGGGCATTGAGCCAGTGCAATGGCTTATGTTGTTTGACCTGCATTTGTCAGAGCAGAGCCTAGGTTAGGGAGAAAGCTGCATCTTACCTAGAACATCTTGTGCGGTAAGATTCAGCACCTTGCAACTGGTGCTTCCAAATACAGATTTTCCCACAGATTCAACAGGAGCTGTTTCATTTCTCTCTCACATCTGACAATGCAGATAGCATCACTGCCTTCACCATTAATTCCAGCAGTGGTTACACGAGCTGGCAGTGCTCACATCCTGCTCCTGCTACTTGCTCCCATGGCTGTACTGCACTGGGAGAACACCGCAGGGACCATCCTCTGCTCCTGCTTTAACCCTGGGCACGGCAGCGAGAGCTCCGAACTGCTTCAGCCAACCCTGCCGCCACCACAACTAGTAAATAAAAAGTCAATGCGTGAGCAGCCCAAGTCCCTCTCCCCACTTACCTCACGGGGTGCGCGTACTGAGCCAGCTTTCCGGAAGACTCGGCCAGCCCACAGGGGCTGCGCACCTGGGGATGAGAAAGCAGAGATCACACCGCGCACGGCGCACAGCACGGCGCACAGCCCCACGCAGCCCCACTCACCATGGCGGGGCCGAGCGCCCACGGCCTCCAGAAGGGCGCTGAGCGGCAGGGCGAGGAAGAAGAAGTGGAGAGAGAAGCGAAGGGCGCGGAGTCGTGCGGGACGCGAGCGCAGCCCCGCGGGGGCAGCGCCACTGAGAGTGAGCAGCCACAGCGCAGCGCTCCAACCTCCATGCTACACCGCAACCATACCTCATCGCACCCCCGGCCCGGCGGCTTTTATACCCCGCAGTGCCGGCGGCGGCGGAGCCCACCTCCCCCGGCTCGTTTGCCAGCGCCGTCAACAAAAAGGCACCGCGGGAATGCGCGCTGTGTCAACACGGAGAGCGGACGCGTGCGTGGCCCAAATGGCCCCGGGGGGAGATGCGGCAGCTCGGTGCGAAGCGCGTCGCAGCGGACACATGGCTGGAAGCGGGGTGGGTGGCACCGGGCAGGGGGCACCGGGCAGCCCCGGAGCGGACCTCTGCTGTCGGGACGCGTCCGTAGGTCGCCAGGCGACCCCTGCGTACGGCCCGAGGTGGTGAAGACGGTGACACTGGCAAGGGTCTTTATTTCCCTAATCCATCACTGGCATAGTCTCACTGATACGCTCCCGTAACGTTTTCCGCCTCTTGAGATATGGTTTCACTAACAGAGCTGCTTTTTAACAGGGTGTCCTTACCGAGGAAAAGTGCCCTCTTTTACTTATTTTCATATGCTGCTAGTGCTTTATCCCACTGCCAGCATCAGCTGCTCTGTGTGCACGGTTTTATGCCAAACTCATACTGCATGCCTCAGCACAGAGGAGCTCCTTTCTATTTTTATTTTCTCTCTTTTTTTTTTTTCTTTTCTTTGTGAAACTGCAATGGCTGATGCATATGAGCAGCAGTAGGGGTCGTATATAAGAGGCAGTAAGCAGTAACAGCCCTGAGGAGGTGGGCAGGTGGGGGGATCAATCTTCACTAGATTTGGAAGGAGAGCTCCAGACCCAGTTCATTTACTGGCCCATGGAAGATCCATGGTAATGATTACAACTTTAGATGTAATTAAGGGAAAATGCATTTCACAGCGAAAAGTTCAACTTAATTGGATATTAGGATTAAACCAAATGTTAAAAAGAATAAAATTTATGCAATAATTTTGCTGCACTTTGTGACTGTCCATGCTGGTCCTCAACACAAGAAGGACATAGAGCTGGTGGAGCCAGTCCAGAGGAGGGCCATGAAGATGATCAAAGGGCTGGAGCACCTCCCTTATGAGGACAGGCTGAGAGAGCTCAGGCTCTTCAGCCTGGAGATGAGAAGGCTCTGAGGAGACCTTATAGTGGCCTTCCAGTACTTGAAGGGGGACTGCAGGAAAGCTGGAAAGGGACATTTTATAAGGGCAGATAGTGGCAGGATGCGGAGAAATGGTTTTAAACTGGAAGAGGGTAGATTTAGGCTAGATATTAGGAAGAAATTCTTTACTGTGAGAGTGGTGAGACGCTGGAACAGGTTGCCCAGCGAGGTTGTAGATGCTCCCTCCTTGGAAGCATTCAAGGCCAGGCTGGATGGGGCTTTGAACAACCTGGTCTAGAGGGAGGTGTCCTTGCCTATAGCAGGGGGTTGTAACTAGGTGATCTTAAAGGTCCCTTCCAACACAAACCTTTCTATGATCTCATTTTCACTGTGGCCTAGAATTGGAATGATTAAAACCAAAGTGAGCAAAAGGCTCAGATTGCTGGTAAATATTCAATTTACCATTTGCAGAAATGGAGATGACAGCAAAGCAGCTAGCGCAGTAAGGTGAGTGTGATCATAACTGAGATTGTATCTATTTTTCTTCAGTTTCCAAACAGCTTCTGTGAAACTTTGTCAAATGTGGTAAAGTATAGAACAGATGTTTAAAAGCTGTCTGATGGCAGATTCTTCTCTTGCCTAAATTATGTGAGAGTCATTTCTGTAGTTGGTATTTCTCTCTTGGGAAATATAACACATGCTGTACAAGAAGAGAAGAATAGAGGATGAGTCCATTGTTAAAGAAGAAGTGCAGAAGCATCATCATATTAGTACCAACAAAGGACTAGCTACTTCACATCAGCATTATTTGTTTGATAAAGCATAAAAGTGAGTATCAATGTGTGCAGAAAGATAAACTACGAGAAAATATCTTTGGCCAATGGCCGCTAATTGTTGCAGAATTCTCTTAAGTATCTGCCCCAAATGAGAAAATGTCCCATGAAGAAAGTGTGATTTACCCATTAAAAACAAACTGACACAGAGGTGTTGAGAGGATAAGGAGAAAATAATGGCTAACAGCTGTTTCTCCCTACATATTTTCACTCTACGTGACTCCTTGGCCTTACAGGTTAGTAATGCAGTCCTGTTTAGTGACAGAAATACAAAGATTTGAATTTGCAATAATAACTTGCTATCACTGGCACTGTGAAAAAAGAGAATGTAACATTTTGCCAAATTCCAACTGACTTTGAAATATGGGCCTTGACATATACATACTATATAGCATCAGAAAGCATAGTTGTGAATTCAACATTCAGCCTGCTACAGGAAGTTCCCCCATGCATTCTTGCTTCTCCCAATTAAAATAGTGTTCTCATTTCTGTGTCTTACTTCTTACTTTATTGTATTTCAACTTCAAAAAGAAGTACGAGTGCTGAACTGATGGTTTTTCTTGATTGTACATGCATAACTAAATTGACTGTAGTAAAGCAAATCTGGGAGTTGAGAAATGATACATTGTGCTGTAAATATTATAGTGGAATCAAACAGGAAAAAAATGATGTATGATTTATTTACTCTCTTATGCAGTAATAAAAATAGCCAGGCACCTCATCACTTCTCAGCTTCTTGAAAATACCTCTCAAGATCATGGTTATTTTTTAATTAGTGCTTTCGAAGCAGAAAAACTCACAGGGTTCAACTGTGTTTAGCCGCAGTTTAATTATTATAGATATGATGGTACAGTTACAGCTGATTACAATTTCAAATGTGGTATAAAGAAGTCTTGCATGGTAATTCTGAATTTACAGCACAAGGATTCAGTATACAGTTTAGCTTTCTCAGAATATGTATGCTGTGGTTGATATACCAAGGATTGTGTATCCAGAGCAAAAGTAATTATCTTGGTTTGCTTTAAATTGATTAAAAGCGCTTTTGTGGTTCTCTGCAGTACGACATCTTGCAATGTGATGTGCTGTTAATAGGATAGACAGAAGAGCAAACACAGAGGCCTGTGCAGGTTTGAGCGTGCTACTACAAACAAAGAAGGTGTTCACAAATGGCTTAGAGCTACATTTGACAAGACAGTGCTAATCACACTTGGACATGGGAATATCTGCACAGAGAACACTCAGCTGGCTTTGTGTCAACCTCTCTGAAGGCAGAGAGAGCTCTCATTTCTTAGTAAATCGTGGACATGCATTGCTTGAGTTCGTATGTAGAGAAAATCTGCTTAGAAATTTGCTGAGTGAAAAAGGAGAGATCAAACCCTGGCTTGCTGAGGCTGGGCTGAGGGAGCTGTGATGAGCAGACAACATTTGATCCTGAGTGTTTGATAACCTGGCCTCTTGACATTTCCCATTCTGACAAAACTTCAGAACTGGATTTTGAAAACAAAATGCATACTTCCTGTTTGCATGCAGAAATATACCATACATGTATATGCCATTTATTTACATTTGGTCTATTAGCTGATAAATTTTTTTCTACCGTAACTTGAAAGTAAAGCATTAGTTTATAAAGAACTGAAGGTTTTACCAGCCTTTCTGCTCTCACCATTGTTAGTCGGAGGCAACCAACACAAACTCCTGTTTCAATGGGAGACATCCATCCCTCTTTTTCCCATCTCTCTGGATTTGGACTGGAATGCAATAGAATTAGGTGCCTTTATTTCATTTCATGCAGAAAATGGTTCTTCCCCTTCCTCTATGTGGCTGGACTGGAAGGTTTGCCTGTGGGAGTGTGCACATGTGAGAATGTTGGGGTGGTGAGTAGTATCTGCTGGGGAAAAGGGAACATGTTTATGTTTGTAGGACGTGCACTTACTGGAGGCCCCTACACACATGTGGCAAAGTGTGACCCACACAGCAAGTTCGTTCCCTCCTTTCCCTGCTCCACTGCACTCCACTCCCATGCTCATGCTAGCAAATGGCTAAGGATAACGTATTCATATGGGAAAGTGACGCACTAAGGGGCTAAGAATGTGTAATGAGTTCGGCTACTGAATGCAGGGAACTTTTTTAAAGGATGAATATCACTTGCTGTCGAGTTCTGAGCACTTCACATTCCATGCAGATAAGAAATGAAGGCCTCAGTGCTGAACACCAGTCTTGCCATTTCTTTTAATATAATGGGAGTTAATGAGACACTGATATGTCGTGTATGCTGGGGCTCTGCAGAGGTGTCTGGCACACTCAGAACAATGCAGCACAGTGCCACAGTGCTTGCTGCAGTTGGAGCTCTCTGTGCTGCAGTGTGGCAGCAGTAGAATTGTCCTCTCACCTCTAAAGAGAAATGAGAAGCAGCCAAATGAAATGCAGTCAATCTAGCCCAACAGCTATTGACAGAAAAGAAGAAGAAATTAGATAATCATTGCATGTCCTGGTTTGACTCCTCCGGCTGGTAATACAGTCCCTAGCTGTGTCATCTCTCCTCTCACAATGCACCGTTCAATTCAGTGTTTCTTCAGATTTGTTGCCTCCCTGGCTACAAAGATATTCATGAAAACAGAGAGGTTGTTTTTCAATTTCCTCCATATCTCTAAGGCATCAGCACAGCATCAGCCCTCGAACAGGATGCATGCCACTAAATTTTGGAGGGAGATAAGTCAGCGTTTAACCTCCAGCAGGGAGGAATGAATAAAACAGCCATGCCTTGGAGAAACAAGCACCTGAGACAGGCAACATGAGTCCTAAATATAGCAGTGCCAGCCCTGAGGAGTACATGCCGTGTGCTGTGCTGCTCTGTGGGTGATAGAGTCTTCACAGAGGTGCCTGGAGATGACTCTGACATAGACCCATGGCTCTTCCCCACCAGAGTGAGTGGCTTCTGGCAAGTGGTCTCATGAGACTGCAAATCCCATTATGGCAGAATTCTGTATTTTTTGATTGCTTGCTTACTGTCATAACTGAGCACAAGGAATATAGGGCTCTCTGTGTGGGCTGGCAGTAGCCTGCCCATTCCAGTTACGATGTGCATAAACAGCAGAGGTAGTGAAGAATAAATACTGGTATCACTTTTAAGACTGTCTGTCAGATCCCTTAAAAATCACATTTTTCATTCCTTATAGCTTTTCAAGTC